GAAATACAAAGATTAGATGACCGAGGTTCGAATCCCGGTTCATTCGTTGTAGAAAATTCTGAAATTTTTAACGATTTGTCTTTTCAAAGTTTATTTCCCGACATTGGCGATCAGTCATACGAATGGATTCAACTGGGCAACCCAAGTGTACCAGAGGACCCGGGTTCGAGTCCCTCCCCATCCACCGACCAAAACTTCCAGAATTTCAATAATGGTCCTATAATTCCACATAAAACTCACCAAGTCGTCATTGAAGTTAGACCACAGACTCAGGGTTTGAATCCCAGTGGTTCCATCGGAACTGAAAGTTTTCCGCGGGATAGTGATTCTTTCGTAAAAGTCGTCTCGTTACCAGAAAACGAGAGAATGAACGAAAAGGCACTTCTGAATAAAATTTTGCCCCAACTTTTTGGAGATTTCAGAAAATTTCAAAATAACTACTATGATATTGGCGCGTCTCGACTCCAACCAGAATCAAAGGCAGAAATCTCGCCACGTCGACCATTTGTTGACGAAGATTTCCGAATATACCCAGTCGATACCGACCAATCTAAAAACACTTCGGCACCACAGGACATCTCGCCCAATGACCAGGATGATTCGTACCACATAACGGATGATTCGTCTCAATTTCTAACCGATGCTGAAAATGTGTCGAATGTTACTAGAGATGAACGCGGTCAGATTGAAACACACATCATAAGGGACATCCCAGCAGGACGAATTTATCGAGGTATGTAGTCCCATCTTAATATGATAATATAGTATTGATAGGTCACACGCTTCAGTTTTAAGTTTATTATTTTTTTACAAGCTTTTCAACCCAACTCGAACGTTCTAAATTCATCGAAGTCAAAGTCGGAATTTCAGAACTCAATGTCGTTAGAGTCAAAAAATTTCAATAGAAACTCAAACCTACCAAAATCTCACTACAACATGCAAAAACCTAGCAATAACATTAAAACAGCAGTTTTCTAAGCGTTTTTAGCAGTCTGTTTAGTAAGAAGGCTTGCATACGGCGTTTTTGTTATCAAAATCTGATTTTCTTGGAGTTATGAGCTGGAGCCGAATATTTTACAACTCCAATTTGGAGTAAATAGTTTTGTTTCCCGATCCTGTAGCTCCGGTAGGGTGGTTCACGTAACTGATGAGGTACATGCATCTGAAACAAATAACTGGTTAACTAATCCCGTACCCAACATGTACTGGTGACCGGGAGATTCTGTGATTTCGTTTGCTGTATAATTTAGCCACGTTGTCGGCTTTCTCCCGCTTTCCGTATTAATACAAAACCTATCCTTTCTTATTTTATACCTAAATACTCTTACTTCAAGGCCAACGACTCAACGCGAATCCATTTTTCGAGAGAATAACTGACGAGAGAACAACCACATTTGACGTCACATTGACGAATGATGACGTCATAGAAATCGTCACAATGCATGACGCATTCCGCATGAGTTTGTATCCACCAGCTGCAAATGCAAGAAAGTTACACTGGAGTGAGAAAATAGCGCATGATGCAGATGAATACATACAACAGTGTATTAATTCTGGATTTGACGATCTGACGGACAACGTAAAGATCACAGAAAGTGAGGCTTTGATTTGGTTAAAAATATTGTTTCTGTGTATTGTAATCTGCTTTCCTGGGTAAGTCTGACTTTGGTGTGCAGCAGAATTACATAGTATAGTCTTATTTATTCTTGCTACACCTTGCATTCATTATACACATACGAATCCACTACCATGAAGACACAGGAAGGATTGGGAGTTAGTCTCGCGCGATCCAGTCCATATTTATTTCTGGGCTTGCTCTTTTCCTTTGGCCTTATATAACGAGAGTACAATGCTGTAATACAGTGTCAACATCTATTAAAGTAAAGCCACGCCATTATTTCAATAACTCGCTGATGAAAAACAAGTTCTCTCTCTCTCCCGTAAGCGCACAACAAGCGTACTTTGACGTAATTTCTCATAGAATAAATATTATGTAAAAATTGTTTTGTTTATGGTAGTTTAATTTGACTCCCTAAAAGCACTACATGACGTTTAATATTTGAGAATATCATTGTTTCGCAAGTTTTTACAAACTTTATTTGGTGAAAAATTTGGGTCGCTATAAAAAAAGGGATTTGACGATCTAACGGACTGAGTTAGAATTACAAAGAGTAAGGCTTTCTACTACTATTACTGCAATTTCTTTATGCTTACCGCCTTATATAACGAGATAGCAATGCTTTGATACAGCGTTTCCCAACCTATGGCCCTATGGGTCGCGATCTAAAACTGGGTCGTATGAAAATCTTCCTGCGTCGCTCGATTTTTCGGCGCTCCAGAAGTGTATGTACCAATATGGAGGTAACTAATTTTGTTTGCCTACTTTTCATTAAGTTGTGTAAAGTGGCTGAAATCTATGGGCAGGGGGTATATTCACTTGGCTGACACAGACAGTCCCCGAACTCGTAATAGAATTAAAATAAGGAAAATCGGAATAAAATTATGGCCTAACCTCAACCTGGTGCACATATTACGGGAGTACTGATTTTTCCGAGCTCCCGAAATATGTGTACCAAGATGGCGCACAACCAGAACACAGTATGTGTACCCGTGTGTACCCGGTTAGGATTATCAGGTTGTGCGCCATCTTGATACTTATATTCATGGATCGCCGATTTTTCAACATGAACTTAAAGTTACTGATTTTATTTTCTAGTATTGCTTATTTCATATTTGGTATTGCGTATATGACGGAAGTAATACTGCATAAATACTTGGCAGCAGCCATTTTGCAAGTTTTTAGAGATTTTAAAAACTCGCTGACGTCAAACAATCGCAGCTTTCGCACTAAAGGTAATTTATGGGAAACATGTTATCTGAAAATAATTATTGTTAAAGGTGTCCATAAAGTCTTGAATTTTTTTAAATTGCAAAGGGAATTTATCGATACCATATATTGTTTTGTCTCCCACATATATATATATAAAATGAAGTAAAAATACTTAAACAATTACTGATTAAAAAACAACAAACCTGGTTGAGATATATGGAGAACTGACTTCATAACAAACTAGAAATTATAAAGGGACTTTAAGGACACCCGTATATTATTAGTTTAATTTCGCGGTCATAAAAGCACTACATGCCGTTTGGGACGCGAGATTTTACAAAATTTGTTTTTTTCAAATTTTGGTTGCTTGAAAAAAAGGTCGAGAACCACTGCCTTACTATAGGGACACAAAGTCCAAATAATGGTCATCACAATGTCGATTTCACAACCATAGTTTGAAAAGAATTTAGTGAATGGCAGATGAATTTATAGACGTGAATTTAAGAAAAAAAAGCGAAACTTGAACTCCCAAAGAAAATTTAATGTAAATAAAAATAATGGCTTTCTTCTTTCATCTTAGCACTAGTGAGTACTGTAAATCAGAAATATTCTGGGTATTATACGGGTGTCCATAAAGTCCCTTTACAATTTCAATTTCAATTTTACAACCAATTTTTTTTTACCTCAACAAAAAGAAAATTGACTTACAACCTATTGCTTTACATATTATGATGTGCATATAATCAGCTATTACGTGGGTCGCCAAAATATTTTGCTCAATATTGACAAATGAATATGAAATACTTTTTTGTTTCAGATGACGTCAGTAGCAGTGACGTCATCACTGAATGGTCTGATGAGCAATACAATTATGACTGGGACTTGGGAAAATGTATGTTCGGGATTTGCGATCATTATTTAAAACTGGCAACACAGGATTTTGATGAAGTTGGATGCTCAAAGACTAGATGCAGCGGCAGATTGGAGGTAAGGATATACAAAAATATTTGAGACTTCCCCCAAAGAAGTCTTCCCCGGTGCTGCCGAAGTATGTGCACCAAGATGGCGCACAACCTGAACATAGTATGTGTACCAAGTTAGGATTATCAGGTTGTGCTTCTTGGTGCACATACTTCCTGAGCGACCAGAAATTTTATTTGCGAATCCATCCTGACCATCCTGTATATATTCGAAAATTATCTAGTTTTCCAAACGCCTTAGAAAAATTTTCTTTAAGTGGCGCACGTAATATGACATTATATCATTCTTTTTCAGATAAACGGAGATATACTACACCGTCCATATATATTCATGTGCCGTTATGGAAGTTACCTCCCTGACCCAAGCAGCAATAAACCTCCAATATCGCCATTCTCCAATAGTCGGAGACCATATATTGCTGGAAGCCCTTGCAGCGAATGTAGACATGGTGACGTATGCGTTAATGGAATGTGCGATTTTCCTCGGCCAGTTGAGACAATTAGTGACGTAAATACTACGATGACGTCATATATTGATGACGTCACAAATATACCACCTCGTGATGTAGCAGAAACTAGCGTAAGTGCAATATTATTTTTTCAAATTTACCGTGGAAAATAGAAAAGTGCGATTTTTTCGTAAATATGTTTTTAAATATTATATTGCTTCTGTTTTTCAGATTATCGCCGAAAATATCAGAAGTGTGTGATATGTGTGCTTGTGTATGTGGTTCCTTGAGTGTGGCGAGGCATGTTTGTTATGACATAGCGCGTATTTCGTGTCAATAAATTTGTGCTTGTATGTTGACTATCCCCTAAAATACAAATTGGACCTATTATTAGCCCAGACTCCACTGTAACAAGTCAAGCAGGTTATCGAACATCGATCCATGGATGCGGGTGATGATCCCAATCCAACCACCACCCTTACCCTGGGTATAAAGCCACCCTGATTATAGGGACACACAGGTTATATAGCCACTCTGGTTTACGTGGCTTTCTTTTCTATTTAATCTCAGTATTATGTGTCGTCTGTGCTATTCGCTGATTTTTCATTCCATTTCCCCGAATTCACTTTGCTTCATACTTGTTCACCAATCTTCCCCGCTTCCGTCGTGTCACCCGGCGCGCTTTTTCAACATAAGAAACTAACATGAACCTTATTATAATCGATTCTTAAATATTTCCAGATCACCATACTTCCATGCTTGTGTGAGAATGGCGGACGTTGCATTCCAGATATTTCCAAAGAAGTTGGACTCGGAGCTTATGAGTGTCAGGTATATTGAATTTTGGGAACTTCAATATTCTTGTTCAAGATTTTGTGTTTTTCCTCAATTCCACGCACCTAAAATATCTGCTTTTTTGGTCAGCAAAATAATAATCTTCCCCTCTCCGCTAAATTCAGTGAAATATTCATAGATAATTTCGTGTATCTAAAGAGTTAGAGCAGTGGTTCTCAACGTTTAAGCCACGCACCGTTTTCAGAATTCGTCACGTCTCGCGCCCCACCTCAAAAATAACTAGCTAACAATAAGCTACAAATAACAGATAGTAAGACCAAATTCTATCTGTTTCAGTGCCTGGTTGGTTTCGGTGGAAAATTTTGCAACGAAACGTGGAATGAATGTCCTTTGGGATTTACTGGTAAGTTATTTTGTGCCACGATTTCTAATCTTAGGAACAGAATGGCCTACACAATATATTATTTATCAGAGATGATATTTGAACCCTAAATTTTTGACATGTTATTGACGATGTTGCACGGTTTCTACTTGTACTATAAAGAACTAAATGAGAAAAGAGAATGATATGGAGGCCCGTCATGAGTAAAGTATTGAAAGTATAAAAAGAATTATCGTCGGGCGCTCGTGACCGAAAAGATTAGGTCCTTTCAAAAATATCATGTCTCTAGTATCACAAAGTGCTTTGTTTGGAGTCACGTTGTGAAGACGCCCCAAAGAATTTTATTCATAAAATAAAAATAAAAATCTTGTTTTCCAGGAGCGAACTGCATGACAGACATTGATGAGTGCCTTGTAAATCCGACACCGTGCTTCGAAGGAGTGGAATGCTTCAACTACATGGGTTCATATTATTGTGGGCAATGTCCGGATGGATATCTGGGAAATGGCTTAACTTGTATAAAAGGTATGTGCGATGAATATATTTACGAAGTCTAATGAGGAGAATACTCGTCTTTGTACAGTCGCTATTTTTTTTAATTGTGAAAAATCGTTTCATTCTACAATTGCTAAATTGAGCGTAGCGTAGATTCAATAAAAAATATAATTACTATTATTGAGGCGTTCAGGCTTTCACTCTGAATAGGTCTCTGTTTGAGCAGCCGCTCATGTGTAAAAGGTTATCTAAATTTAGCTGAAGTATAAATAATTTTCAGTAACAATTGGTCTCATAATATATATGAAAATATACAAAGTTGTCTAAAGCTTTATTCTGAGGAAACAACGCTTAAACAGACTTTTTAAATTTTTAGTTGATTATTCGTTATCCGATGACACGATCGCTGTTGAAAACGAGACATCAGTGCTGTGGGATGATGATGATTCACTCATTGTTCCTGATATTCGTGATTTGGCTCACGAAGTTCACAAATCCCGTGAATTGATTCGTGAATTAGCTAATGAAGATGATTCACCAATTCACGACTATGATGATATCATTGGCTCGCTTGGTGATTTTGGAAATTTAGAAACTGCTCAATCAAATGAATTAACTACTGATAATGAAATGGTTCGTGAGATGGTGAACACTGATGAATCTGAATCACGAATTCGTGAGCTACAATTAGTTCAAGGTACCCGCCCGTCCTCGGAAGTACGAGTTTTCACTACAATACCTAGTGTTGCCAAAGGAGAATCTACTGAACAGCGGGAAGACGAAATACATGCTACTAGAGCAGTTTTTATCCCAGATATAGTTAGTGTGCGTCCAATCGAGTCCGAAACGACAACCAAACCAGCGACCACAACCATTGAAAGCCATCAAGATGAAATTATTACGGAAAAAACGACGGAACCCCTCCTTCCACCTACGGAAGCTACTACTAATGCTATGAATGAAACAACGAGCGGTATCCAGCAGTTATACACAGAAAAAATCAATATAAGTCAATTGTCTTCAACAGAATCACAGGGCGAACATAGAACCGTGTCGTCTAATGTCCCTCAAATAGAATCGAATGTGAAATCCACAGTGTCTTCATTTTCTGTTCACAAAGAAGCAGAAACAACAAACGCAAGATTGAGTAAACTTGGTACCGATTTAGATGAGCTATCGACTATCAGCAACAATATGTTTAAAACGCTTCTTTCTACCCCCAGTAGAACCACGTTTGCCACGAATACTGCTGCAATGGAGAAACAAAGTGAGGCGCTAACTAATCAGAATACAGAGACTGCTACAACAACTTTAACATCGACTGAAGATGCATCTACGGTCACCCAAAAGGGTATCAATGAAGGCACACGAGAGAAGAAAATTTTAAGCCAAACTGATACCACTACAGCCTCTTCTACTACCAAATTATATGTTGATAGTTCGGATGAAAGCGGAGTCATAATGCCTTCGTTAAGAGATGTTATTCACGACACTATTCCTCGCAGCAAAACGAATTTGTCTGCGATATTGGAACAATTCCATAAACACTTTGGTGATCGTCTTCTCGTAATTCAGAAAAAGACCAGTGGATCAACGACAACCAGTCAGCCAACAACGACCAGTCAGCCAACAACAACTACAAGTCAGCCGACAACAACGACGACCAGTCAGCCAACAACGACGGCAAGTCAGCCAACAACGACGACTAGTCGGACAACAACGACGACCAATAAACCAATGATGACGACCATGGGGGGAAAAACAACAACTAATCAGCCAACAACAACGGCCAGTCGGCCAATAACGACGACCAGTCAGTCAACTACAACGGCCAGTCAGCCAACTACAACGACCAGTCAGCCAACTACAACGACCAGTCAGCCTACAACAACGACCAGTCGGGTGACAACAAAAGCCAGTCAGCCAACAACGAGGGCCAGTCAGTCTACAACAACGACCAGTCAGGCAACAACAACGACCAGTCAGCCAACAACAACGACCAGTCAAGCAACAACAACGACCACCCAGCCAACAACGACGACCACTCAGGCAAAAACATTGACAAGTTTGCCAACTGCAACGACCAGTCAGCCTACAACAACGACTAGTCAGCCAGCAACTAAGACCAGACAGACGACCAGTCAGCCAAATACAACAAACAGTCATCCAACGACGACGACCAGTCAGCCAACAACAATGACCAGCCAGTCAATAACGACGACCAGTCAGTCAACTACAACGACGAGTCAGATAACTACAACGACCAGTCGGGTGACAACAAAAGCCAGTCAGCCAACAACGAGGGCCAGTCAGTCTATAACAACGACCAGTCAAGCAACAACGACGACCAGTCATCCTACAACAACGACCAGTCAAGCAACAACGACGACCAGTCATCCTACAACAACGACCAGTCAAGCACCAACAACGACCACTCAGCCAACAACAACGACTAGTCAGCCAACAACTAAGACCAGACAGACGACCAGTCAGCCAAATACAACAACCAGTCATCCAACGACGACGACCAGTCAGGCAACAACAACGACCACCCAACCAACAACGACGACCAGTCAGCCAACAACAACGACCATTCAGCCAACAACAACGACTAGTCAGCCAAAAACTAAGACCAGACAGACGACCAGTCAGCCAAAAACTAAGACCAGACAAACGACCAGTCTGCCAAATACAACAACCAGTCATCCAACGACGACGACCAGTCTGGCAACAACAACGACTACCCAACCAACAACGACGACCAGTCAGGCAACAACGACGACCACCCAGCCAACAACGACGACCAGTCAGCCAACTACAATGGCCAGTCAGCCTATAGCAACGACTAGCCAGTCAACATCAACAACCAGTCAGCCAACAAATAAGACCAGACAGACGACCACTCAGCCAAATACAACAACCAGTCAGTCAAAAATAACGACCAGACAGATGACCCCTCAGCCAAATACAACAACCAGTCAGTCAAAAATAACGACCAGTCAGCCAAATACAACAACAAGTCAGCCGACAACGACGACCAGTCAGACAAAATCAACGACTATTCAGTCAACTGCGACGACCAGTCAGGCAACAACAAATACAACCAGTCGGGCTTCAACAACGACCAGTCAGCCAATAACAACGACTAGTCAGACGACTAGACAGCCATCGAAGACTACCAGTCAGTCAACAACGACGACCAGTCAGTCAACAACGACGACCAGTCAGTCAACGACGATGACCAGTCAACCGACAACGGCGACTAGTCAACCGACAACGGCGACCAGTCAACCGACAACGGCGACCAGTCAACCGATAACGACGATCATTCAGCCAAACACAACAACTAGTCAGTCTTCAACAACGATCAATCAGCCAACTACAACGACTAGTCAGGCAACAACGACTACCAGACAGCCAACGACGACGACCAGTCAGCCAACAACTAGGACCAGACAGACGACCAGTCAGCCAACGACAACGACCAGTCCGCCAGATACAACAACCAGTCAGTCAACTACAACGACCATTCAGCCAACAACTACTAGTCAGGCGACCAGCCAGTCATCAACGTCGACCAGTCAGCCAACAATGACGACCAGTCAGCCAACAACAACGACCACTGCAAATTTAACGCCGAGACGCTCTTTCATATCAGTAAGTACATCAGACTCAATTTTTAATCATTTGTTATTTTTATAAAGGTGACTGTAAACGGGTTTTTCCAAGTTCCAAGCCAAACTTGACCAGTAAAATTTGATTCGAATTGTAATGGTGTAGTGTAGACGTAGAGGTTATGTTAAAATCTATCATTATAAAAATGACCAGTAATGTCTCACATATTGTTTGCAAGTCTGTTTAAATAACTGGTGAACTATTCCCATACTTTACATGTACTGGTAACGGGTCGAAAGGCCGCAGTTTGAAATATCACTGAGCCGCCGTATCGGCTTCTCTCGCTCCGGGATAATTATGCAAATCCTATCCTATGTGCTCATTTGTTATAGGGAATGCGTAAAGTAGTAAAATGCCGAAAGACAAAGTCAGGAAGAAAAGTCTGCATTCCAGTTCTCAGAAGAATGAAATGGAGAAAAAATAAAGAACAAATAACCATAGGAGGAAGACCAATGAAATATTACGTTTCGAGAAAACTTTCAAGAACGAAATTCTCACAAAAAGGTTTTTTCATTTTCAATGTGGTTGCTTTGGCGCTTCCGAAGTATGTGTACCGAGATGGCGCACATCCTGAACCCTAAGCTGGTACACATGCTATGTTCAGGTTGTGCGCCATATTGGTACACAGGTTCACATACATTAGTTTCTCCGTTATTTTAAGCGTTCTCCTTACCTGTCAGTGAATGCCTTGCAGAGCCGTGTTCAGAGCAACAGGGTAGGATGTATCCCTGACATGGGCAAACTACTGCCCGCAGGCCCGAATCCGACTCGTCGGGTAATTCAATATGGTCCGCCTGATGCTGCCACAATCAAACCAATTTTTAGCTAAAAGTAGCTCAAGGAATTTGTTGAGATTCCGTTTAAATTTAGTTTGGGCAGCAGGCTTATTGTTTTCCACTTTTGATTTTTGTAACACTGTAAATATTGTTCATTAAATGTAACTTTTTACGTCACAATTACGCCAGTCTAAATGCGCAAAATTGTTGACCCCTGTTCAGAAAACCTTGTCAACCCCTGATTAATATACTATATTCGAATCAGACTGGTTACTGATTGAGGGGTGGATCTTGCCAAAATGAACATGAAATTCTACCGTACTCACAGGTCTATACCACAATAGAACAAATTTTGGTTTGACATTTTATTTACTTCGAGTCATATTTTCAATTTCCGTTCATTTTCAGAATGTCAGAAACGATGCGGATTACGAGGCAAATGTACAACTTACGGAATGTGCAAATGTGAACCTGAATATGCGGGTGAGTAATCGGATCGTTGAAACGTCTTGAAACGTTTTTCTAACTTACTGTTGTTAATAGTTGAATGAGATTACCTAAGAATAACAATTGTTTTGAGAATCGCCTTAAAAATGAGCGCACACGTTTCATATTACTCGTTGAAATCGCCTCTCTCTTTTTTATCTTAAAACCATTCGTTTTTATGGAGCGGGATTTTGCTCCGGCTCAATTATTGCGAAACAATTCACATGATCAAAATCAATTTAAAACAAGATAAATCATGTATATATCGCTAATAATCACATGCAAATTATGCAATTTAGTTACGGCTGATAGTGAACGACAAAAGTCGAATGTTATCAAATTGCCAATATCTATGACGTCGAAAACTTTTTTAATTATTGATGTCAAGGACTCAAAATTATTGATTAATTAGTTACAGTCCATGCTAGTTATAAATACCAGACGCGGCGAATTTGTAGCACTGCTTTACCGATAATCGTTATAGGTGCTTATTGGGAAGTTACCTGATCCAGTGGTTCCCAGCGGTTTGCGTTGAATTGTGGTAATTTAATTTGTTTCTCGGACCATTATTGTAAAAAATGACCAATCAGTAACAAATTAACAGTGACATCACAGTTGCAATTTAACCAGCCACCAAGGCGGACATAGACTAGTATTCGTAATTGTTTGTTTTTTCCAAATTTAGTCATCAATAAAATCATAATTTCGGAAGTGACCCAAAAATCCTTTCTCCTAACCTACAGGTATTGTCATTAACGCCTTGATTTTAAAATTTCGTGCTATTATTGCAGGACAATTTTGTGAACGATCATCTTGTGACGTCATGTGTAAGAACAATGGTGTCTGTATTTCAAGAAACACCTGCAAATGTGTTAATGGATATTTTGGGCCAACATGTGGCGAATGTGAGTAATGAATTATAATTATTTGGGTTATGTTGGATTCGTTTACCTGATGTCTGTTTCCTAATAGTAATAACTTGAATTACTTCAGCATTCATCGGCTCGTAATGCACATATTTATTATGGTTTTGGACTTTTGGTATCTTTTCAGTGCTGCCTATAGCTTTGTACAGAGATGAATATCTTTACCTTCAGAATGAGTGTAACAATAGGACAATTGTTTTTTTATTTGAATTCGGAATAAATAAACATTGGCACGAAGATGAGCATTTTCAGCGTAACTTCAAACGACTGCAGGGTGACTCATTGCATATTTTTATATATATCCCGAGAGTGGAAAGGCAATAAGACATCTTAAATATATGACGGTTTACTGCCTCTCACTCGTCTGGTGTGATTAACTAGTCAATTTGGCAAACCCTAATCCACATAGGCGCTGGTTAGTTACGGCTTCCTCCACCATCAATTCCATGCATCTGAGACAAATAACTGGCTAACTAATCCATTACCCGACGTGGCCTGGTAACCGGAAGAGAGGCCGTGGTTCACCGTATGATAATGTTGTCTTTCGGCTTCCCTCTTGCATGGGATATGTTATGTATGAAAATTCTATCCTATTCCAGATATATGGACTTCGACAGGGAAGCAGAAACTGCTTTTTATGATCTTATAAACTCTCTATTTTCCTTAACTTCAACTGAATTTTATTTCCACACAGTCAGATGCGATGATCCTTGCCAAAATGGAGGCACATGTATACGACCCAACACCTGCAACTGTGCAAAAGGATTTGAAGGCAATCTGTGTGAAAATCCGGTTTGCGATCCTGGCTGTGTGAACGGAGGAAAATGTGAATCTGGCAACGTGTGTTTGTGTCCTCAAGGTTACGAGGGAGACAGATGCCAGAAAGGTGAGCGTAGTGGGTTCGTAGGAATTGTATCACGAATCATGATGTGTCGCCAACTAACATAAGTATATAAGTATATAAGACTCGATGAAGAATCTGACAATGTATGTTTGTGACCCTGTGAATACGAGGGAGACAGATGCCAGGAAGATTTACGCAGTTCAAATCTTATAAAATCGTGGAAAGTATCATTTAAAATATTTCTTACTGATTTTTTATCTCAAATTAAAGTACAAAGTTCAAATTCTTCACTTATAAAAGAAAACGGGGCCTGAAGCGGGTGACGTTGCCAAATTATGCTCTGTGAGGGAATTTTAAAATTGGTGCGGTAGATCTCGTCTATTGGGAGATCGGTGAGCCAGTACAAAAGTTCTCGAAAGAACTGGAATATTGTTATTCACTTTAAAATATCAGGCACAATGGGAGATTTTGCTTATCGCATTCAATCCATTACAACTTGATACGGAAAGCTTGTTGATCACTAGCTAATCTGAATATGAAATGATAGTTTTTATAAAATTAAGCGTAAATAGTTGAGATAAATTAAATATTGCGCTGATTTATCAATTGTAATTCTCTTTCAGCCGTCTGCAATCCTGAGTGTCAAAATGGCGGCCATTGCATCAGGAAGAATGTGTGCACCTGCGCGAGATTGTTCCTGGGTGACAGATGCCAGATAAGTAAGCGGCTTCCATAATTTCAAGATTATCATCTGCAGCAGAGTAGTCATAGTTATGTTACAAATGTAATAAAATGTAAAATAACTAAAAGTGCGCAGTAAACAGTAAGAAGTTCAACAAAACATATAATGTTGTTTAAAACGAGTTTGATAAAATTCCTAAATAGGGAGGGGAGGGAGGCGACATACGTTTATCCAACTTCAACTATTGACACATTGGCTAAAATTTATTTAAACACGGAATCTTAGGAATTATTCACACACGGCGAATTTAATAGCTAGCATTATGAGCCCAAACTGACTTGAACCTCAAAATTAATTCCATCCAAATGCTCACCTACTCAGCTAGGCGCGATCTACAAGCTTTGATAAAAGCTACCTAACTAGCCATTTATCTGGAGTTTTATACTTTAATATATTTAATATGTATAAATATGTTGATTTTAACTACTGTCAGGCATTAGACTTAAAATACCAGTACGAGCCCTCTTTTCACTAAGATGACTAGTTTTCTCTCTCTCAACCAGGTGTCTGTTCCCCAGGATGTGGTCACGGCGGTCGTTGTATGAAAAATAATAAATGTTTTTGTAAGACCGGGTGGACTGGGAACCATTGCAATACACGTAAGTATTTCATAAATTTAAAGGGTTTTATACGATTTTCTAAACAATCTAAAGTTTAGAGAAACACATAAAAAAGGAACTAAAACTCGTTTTCTCCTTTTTGATGTTTTCACTCAGCTTAAGGAAGGTTCCTTGCTCTGTTAACTTTTTTTGGTTGAACAATAAAATTTTATTATTGTAATAACTTTATTCTTCGTTTAGAATCTTGTATAATAAATATATTGCAATACAACAAAATCAGTTTTTGCATCAAAATGTCATTTTGCAAATGTTCAAATAGAATTTGTCGCAGATACAAATTTTGTATGTGTAATGTGTGTATGGATTCGCACTTCATTCCAAATGAGTCATTTAATTGACTGGACATTTTTCACGCCTCCAGTCCGAGCGAAATTTTGTAAAAATATCCATTGTTGCCATGGCCTCTTTACCAGTTCATGTCGGATATTGGCTTAGTTAGCCGGTTATTTGTTTCGTGCCCATGGACTTGATAGTGGAGGATGACGTAAACGACAGCAGTTACGTGAACCATCCCATAACAACAACCAGTCCAGCAATTCATCTTGAGGTCTCTTACTGCGTCGCCAACTTGGTCTAGTTCAATGCTAAATTGGTAATAATATTCCGAAATATCACGTCCTTCTCAAACTCTGTTTTCTGTTACAGCAATATGTATTGACAAATGTGCAAACGGTGGTGTCTGTGTTTCTCCTAACAAATGTAAATGTAAGGCAGGATGGTCTGGATCTTCATGCAGGACAGGTAAAACACTTTTATCATCTTTATCATTTTGCTGACTTCTAAGAATCATCAAACAATATGATATAAATTTGGCGCTAAAATCCTTCGGAAAACCTGTATATCATTTGATTTCTACTGTCTATATAATATATTTCATTTTCAAAACTTACAGGTCATTGCAGAAGATGTCGGTTCGGTTCGCGCTGCGTACGACCAAATACTTGTCGATGTCCGTACGGTCCACGAGGAAAGGGCTGTAGGCTGGTAAGACGTCTTTTCATTTAATTACGCTCACCCGAGCATGGCCTAAAGAATTTATACTGGGTTTTTTATTGTAACAGTTCATCTCACTGCACGATAAAATTTGCTTTCGTTTGAGATGTCCCTCAATTCGCTACCTATAACTTTTAAACAGTCATAAACGTTCGAAATAACCAATATTTTGATTCTTTTTATTGTCCTACTGATGCGGCGCCGCGAACCTTCAGGGTGAAAGAGTAACTTCGCCCAGAGACGTCATACGGTTCGAAGAGTTAATTACGCTCACCTGAGCGTCGGGACGCTAAACTGAGTTTTTCAATCACTTCTCTTCCGATTGACTCGCGCTTAAGTTAATTTGTATTTAAAAAATTTTAATCAATCAGCACGTCATGTTAAAAAAATCTAATTCTTATTCTTGTCGTTTGTTTGACGTCAATTGCTTCTCAACTCGGCAAACACACATTGTCTCTGACACGATGACTTGATAGTCCCACTTGTCAATGTCCATTTGACTCAATTAATTTTTTGAAATTACATTGAAGAATAAAAGGTGACTGGCTATATCGGACATTTGTCACGCTATGGTCGTTTGGCTTCACTGTATGCATAGCATTCGTTAAATTAAATTTCAATGTCACAATTTGTCAAGTCTCGCGTGCCCCATCTTAAAAATCAATACGTTGAAGTAACATGGATGGAACGTAAATATTCAAATAAAGAAATGTAAATATCCAAAACAGGGCGCGCAAGATCTTTATTTGTAATTAGCTTCACGAAAAAAATTGTATACGTCCCACTTGTGGGATGCGCCTTGCCGTTGAAGAACCACTGTTATAAAACATTTTCTCCGTGGTAAATAAATGTTAATAACTTTGAAATTTATTTCCAACGCGTCGTGGGGGCTCCTGAAGTATGCGAACCAAGATGGCGGACATCAGAATGTAATATGTGTACTAGGTTAGGGTTAGGCCATAATTTTAGGTACAAATACTACGAGAGGCACTTGGCTAGTTTTTGAACTCATAGTAGGTATAAAATAAGGGAAATTGGAATAAAATTATGGCCTAACCCTAACCTGTTACCCATGCTACGTTTCGATGTCCGCCATCTTGGTTCGCATACTTCAGGAGCACCGCGTCGTGAGTATGACAAGTTTAGTAATCTCCGATTTACAGCGTTTTATAAATGAACGAAATTGGGACCTCCTGAAGTATGCGCACCAAGATGGCGCACAACCTGAACATAGTATGTGTGTACCGGTTAGGATTCAGGTTGTGCGATATCTTGGTGCGCATACTTCTGGAGCACCCAAAATTGAGTCAGCTTTGCATTTTTTTGGAAAACTTCCTAATTGTGCGCCATCATGATTGTACCTAGCTTCAGCAGCTCTTGGCTATTTATTAGTTGCCGGTAACGTTTCTCAGATCAGTAATTAGTTTTCTTTACTTGTGAGTGCGCGTGACTTTTTTTTGAGAAAATGTTTCCTAAAAATATTGCCTTTTTTCAGAGGTTACTTCTCAGCAGAAGATCTTCAATACGGCGATTTTGAAACTGGATCTACATTTCTAATCAGCATCTCCATTGGCCGAACAAAGGGACGTCGATTCAGAAGTAGAGAAGCATAAACTCTCGTTCGTCATAAACTTCATCCGCTATAGTCAAGGTTCTAAAATGTATCTATGTCATCATAGTGTTTTGAACTTTGCTTGTGTGTCGTCAGAATGTTAAATCTACTTTTTACTTATGACGTAATACGCCGTTTGAATACTATTTATTGAGCTATTTATTGTATTAACTTCGCTTTTTTAAAAACTGGACAATGATGGAAATGATTGCAGTGCTTCTGGCATTGTAAAAAAGTATTTGTTCTCGCGCTATTTGAGTAGTTCTCTGCCGTTTTACCTGAAAATGAGGTCCTTTCGAATAAAACCAGGTTATGTACATGTGAGTACTGCCAGAAGCAATGCATTAAACCAGGGATGTGCAACCTGCGGCTCACAAGGAAAATTTGTGCGGCCTGCAGAGAAGTGCCAATTTTGAATCATGTGCGGCTTGTGAGTTTTTAATTAATTTAGTTTTATCTGGTAATTCCAATCCCCTTGCGTTGCAATCCTATACATTACCAATCCAATTTATTATCTATGCCTATGACGTTATAATGCCCTGACAGCTAGTTTTTGTGAAGCGAACAACACATGTCATAAAATTAATGACCAAAATTAGAAAGCTTATGTTTAATGAAGGTGCGGCCGCAGGTTCAGCCAGTTTTTTTTTATATCTGACCCACTGGTATTAAAGGTCGCACACCCTTAATTCAAAATACGCACAGAAACTGCTTAAAATTGAATTCTAAAAGATGTAGGCATACTCTGCCTGGATCTATTTTCACGATGAGTCGACGAATTGACATGAAAACTGCGGCACCTGAGTTGTTTATGATTACAAAACTTAGCGGAATTTATCATGCAGATAAATAGTTATTGAATTTGTAACTATTATTAGTTGCTACCCCACCCTGTATGCTTGATGTTACCACATTTGGGTAATTAGACTTTTTGATATAACACCTATTCACGACTTCTGCAACGTCTTCATAAATCTTTACGATGTGGCAGAAAAGTAAAATTTCTTAGCGGAACTTATCATGCAGATCTGGCAGTAGACTTTCGAATCCTGTGCCAACTGGTATCACTAACTTTCCTGATGAATCCTAAACTCTCGGATCGTGTTAGTTTACAACTTTACCATCAGTGTTCTTTCTATTTTTGATTGACGGATTGAAATCTTGCATTGAGCAAAAAGATTTTCCATTTATTAGTTCTAAGGCAGCATAGTGGATTAGGAAAATAAGTATGACTCTTTGTATCTTGTATTTTACGCCATTCTTACTAGTTCTATGTCTTTAACCAATAACACAATGGCGCATGCTGCTGGTCTTCTTGGTATTTATGAAATTTCTGATGAGTCCCATTTCAAATAAATTTGATCAAATAAATATTTACGTGTGTCATAGATAGAATAAGTGTATAAACTATAGTATTGGGCGCTTAGTTTCTTTTTTTTGTGAGAGATTGGAGGTTGAGGGCATACTTCCATCTGCGAAAACATCAGCTGAAGAGTAAAATCGCCACTGATTGGATGAATATATTAGAACAAAGAAGGAATTTTTGGTGCTCCCGGAGTATGTGTACCAAGATGGCGCACAACCTGAACCCTAACCTGGTACACATACTATGTTCAGGTTGTGCGCCATCTTGGTACACATACATCCAGAGTTCCGAATTTTTTCCGTGCTGAGAAAGCATGGTATTATTAAATTTCTGTAATCCAAGTCAAAATTATGGAGCTTGGGAAGTCTATGATCTATATCAGGGGTTATCAAACATTCTAGTGTTGCGGATCCTGTGAAGAGGTTGACTATTATTAAAGAAGCCCAACAATAAATTAACTATTGGACTTGCAGATAATGGCATATTTGAATTACTCAACTTTTCGATGCTACTGTTGTCCAATTTTATCACATTTATAGAGTTAACCAACTCAGATAAGCAAACGAATGGCTCGCGGAGTTCCGGGCCTCGGTATGGAGAACCTCGAGGGCAGTTGGGCATAAATTCTGAATGCCCAGTCGTTGCCATACCAAAGCCATATAGTGATAACCAAGTAGACTTAATATATCCCTTACTTCTGTTAGCAACATCATCCCAAGAAAACACATTGAAAGATCTTCTCTTCTCTGCTTGACAAAAAAAAATATCAACAATAAAACATAGATTTCATTTATTCGGATCAAAAAATTATAACGAAATATTCTTAATATTTAAGATTCGGTTCTGAACCAAGTTCACGACACAAAATTTTGCAGGGCTTAGACATTACTCGAGACCGAGATGGCCAGTCCACTTTGTGTTGTGCTAACTTGACTTGACACACAAGTACCAAACGCTTGTAATTATTCTTTTATTCTTTCATAGAATAACATATAGGCAGGACAATTCATCACCTCCTCTTGAGTGGCTTTTCTTACCAGGGTGTCCGAAGCGCACACCCATCTGAAATAGGTTATAATTGTTAAAAGTGATATGGCAGGTTACTTGAGAAGCTTAATTTTAATTACCAAGTGAACTGCACCTGCTAGTCCAGGGATGGGCAACATACGGCTCGCGACGAGATTTTGGCTGGCCCGCTGACTGTACATCAGTACATTATGATATTACATTATTACACTTTTAGTACATTATGATAAATTCATTATGTGTTTTTGATCTCTATTTTTTGTAAAGTTCAAACTTTACTTACTTTAAACGCGATTTATAAGTAACTTTCTTTCTTGCATTAGCAAATGAATATGTGATTAAGATATTAAATACTATTCATGTTATAATCTGGCCCACCGAGGAGGCCCACCATTTTCCCACATCCGGCCCGCCGACTAGAGATGTTGCCCACCCCTGTGCTAGTTCAATGGTTTATTTAGACAGGGACAACATTTTTTGTCTGTGTCAAAAACACGTAATTGTTACCCACGTTTTTAAACAGACTGTCAAATTTTATGCATGATGGAAAAAATCAGAGCATTTGACAAGAGCTACACTAAATGCCCTGGTGGGCTGGAATGTTGCGCGCAGGCCGCCTGTTGAATACCCCTGGTTTAAGATCATATGTACGTTGGCATCGCACGTTCATCATATTATTAAGTTGTCTTATACACATTCCTCTTTCGGGAAATTAAAATACGAAAATCCCCATCTTCTAACCTTATTTAAAATATACTTACTCATTATCTTTATCTGGTGATCTTCGATATGTAAAAAAATGGCCACAGAAGCTTGAGTCCCCAATATGAACAATCGCAGATGTCAAACGATATAGAGCCTTGTGAGACCTAGGAAAAAAAATGTCACTATTTAACTGACTGGACTCATACTGGCCTCTCCAAATGTGGTAACTTCGTGCGTAAATGGAGGGACAAAAGTTGGGTAGCAGTTATTAATAGTATATACAGGGATATCTAGGTAGTTGAAGGACTTGACATTAGGACAATTCGGCAGTTGACCAAAAAATGTCACAAATGCTGCGATACTCGTGGCTTCTGGCATTTCAGTGATCACCCATAACTTCCCTCCAAGATCAATCCCCTTGATTTCTGGGCGAGCATGTGTAATCCAGCTTTGAGCAACTTTAATCGCAATAAATAAAATTAACAATAGGTCTAATTACCTAATAGTAGTAAAGGAATAAACTGATTAATGTGATAGTAGTTTCTTATATATTGTTAAACATCAATGGAAGCATGTACCAAGCCTTTTTCATAGCAAAAATCGTGAGTAAGCAAGCATTATATAAAATCAGTCGGACCTCCTGAAGTATGCGCACCAAGATCTGAACTCGGGTTGTGTACCAGGTTAGGGTTCAGGTTATGCGACATCTTGGTGTGAATACTTCAGGAGTACCAATTAGTCTAATTACCCAATTGTAGTAGAAGCAGCAGATCTGTGTGAACCACCTTGAAGACCCATTGGTAGAGATTCCAATCTCTGTTGCCTTTTTTTGAGCAATGCTTCCAGCATTTCAGATGGTTTCAACTGTCCTGCTTGCTTTTCGATCGATTCCGAATTTTGACGCTTCTTTAGGGACGTAATACGAGATAATTCTGTAAACTGTCCCATGTCAAGAATTTCAGGAAATTTCACAAAGTTCATTTTCTTGGTTGGCATTCCACCGATCCACACGAGGCGCTGAAGATGCATGCATAAACAGTCTGGTAGTTTACCAATACACATGCGACGAATAAAATTACGTTTCGTTGGAATATATTCATTTTCTCCATCAAATTTATACCCTCGGGAGCGTCTTTGATAATACCTCTCAAATTTCTTTCTTTGACTTCCAAAATTAACTTTTGGAAAAGGATTTTTGAATGATTTTGCTATATTTCTGATAGAATCATTGTGAACCCCTTTTCTAAAATTTCCAACGTTTTTGATGACAATACTAGACGGATCAGGGACGCAAAATAGGTTATCAGCCATCAGACTTCCATTTTGATTCTGAACAGTACTGTTTTCTTTTGCATTGCTCATGATATTTTTATCGTTACCAACACCACCATTTTGAGTAGTTGGAGAAATATCTATGGTAGATTGCTTATTACAGTCATAGACTGGTGGCATGGTCTCTGGTACAGTTTGTATGGTCTTATCTGGTAGGCCAGTCTTATTGGTATGTGTTGGTGACAGTGACAGACTGGTGTTGGGATTGTCAGATTCCACATTCTCTTGGTTTTGGGGTTTTATGTTATTGTCAGCACTGGTAATGGTCTCATCTGGTAGGCCATTACCAGTTAAACTGGTAGAGCTTGGTGCCTGATTGGTAGTAAAATAACCAGTCTTAGTTTTAAATTGTTCATTGTCTGTTATAGATGAATGTTCACTGTCATTATTTAGCTTCGATACATTCTCATTTCTCAGAGATTGGATATTTTGTGAATTTTTACACATTTCTTTGGACGATATACCATCGTTTCTTGGTGGCTCAACTTTATTATCTGGATTAGTGCCAGTCAACATGGTTTCACTATTGGTATATGACAGAGTCTGAATTTGAGTGTTTAAAGAACTTTTAATACTTCCTTTCTCAATCTCAGTTAGTGATATTTTATTCTGTTCGTGTAGTTCAGAGTCACTGCCCTGATTTGTACTGTTTAATATGCTTCTACCTTTGGGGAATAATTCAGCATGGCTTGGAGTATTCGATGCAATTTTACTTCCTTTTGAAGTTACAGGATCTTTGTCATTCCAAAGAGTTCCAGATTCCATTTTGCTTTGAATACTGCCCTTTGTGTTTATTTCTACAGCACCTTCATTGGAAGATTTCAAGAGAGTCTCAGATGGTGTAATTTCCAAATTTGAACTATTTTGTGTATCATCTGTCACTAAAATATCAGTGCTTTTTGACATGCTGTCTTTTTTGTCGAGCTTCTTTGGATGAGCATTTATGATTTTATCTTTTATTTCTTTTGTGTTGTTGTTATATGAACCAGCAGTCGGTGGAATGCCTGCAAAGTTAGATATGTTGGGATAAGAAGTAGGTAGATGTAGAAATAATCAAGTAACCTTGTGATAGGGCTGCCCAAATATGAATATTCGGTGCTCCAGAAGTATGTGCACCAAGATGTCGTACAACCTGAATCCTAACCGGTACACACATATCATTTTCAGGTTGTGCGCCATCTTGGTGCGCATACTTCTGGAGGTCCGAATATACTCTTAGGGAGTCATATATTGCAGAGGCAAAGCCAAATCAGAAATATTATGATCCTTCCAAGTATAGTTCTAAGCTCATCACGTATTAGTGGCAGCTTGTGCGAAGCCTTGTTTGAAGTAAAAACTCCTCGAGATACTATATACAAGTGGTTCCCGGACAGCGGTAACAATTTAATATGAACCGCTGAATTTGAGTGAAATAGATTAACACTCGATGATTTTACTTTTTCGCATCCTAATTACCGTCAATTGTTATGTCATTATCGCAGTTCAAGCACGTATATTCGTAACAATTAAATTATTTCGGTATCCTAATTATCTGTACCGGTGATAGGATTACATACGGGCGCTCCCTCGGCCCGTGAATATCCTTCCGCTTTCAATTTTGGCTCTCGGCCAATCAACTTTGGGAAGCACTGCTATATACCAACTGTATATTTGTTTGAACAAAATTTTAGAAATCAATGCAACTATCTCATAAAATTATACAAAGTATTCAATTCAATGGTAATAAGATACAGCCCACATTTCGTCACAGATTTGTGCCTAGGCCTTAAACAAATAAATTCCTCAATAACAACTACTCACCTTTCCCTTGACGCGTTGAACAGTTCTGGCATTCAACATTCTTAATAACTTCTGGTGCCGTAAAGTTTTTCAGACAATCCAGCAAACTGGTTTGCATTGACCATGAAGGACCAGACGGCAGTGGCAGGCTAAGACTGTCAAAACCATCGTACCTAAAGTTTAAATTGCTTTTATCATTTCGAAGAAGATGAAACAAAAGTAATAAACTAAACTTGTTCGGAAGTTTACATCTTTATATTGTCCTCAGGGGTTCTAATAAGTCGGGAGTGGGTAAATTACTGCCCCGCTGGCCTGATCTGGCCCACCTAAGTTTTTCACCCAATCAACTTGTGCCTAGTTTTATGAATGTAAATTTTTGTTGAAAATATTGATGAAAATCACGCCATAATGACCAAGACGAATTTACAATGCTCGTGTCAAATCCTATAGTAATTTGAAGAAATAAAAATTAAATACCTCCATGGGAATTTTGGTACTCCCGTAGTATGTGTACCAGGCCATAATTTTATACCGATTTTCCTTATTTTAGTTACGGTATATTACAAGTTCAGGGACTGTCTCTGTGAGCAAAGTGAATATACCCCCTGCCCATAGGTTTCCGTCCCTTCACACAACTTGATGTAAAGTGGGCGAGCAAAATTAGTTACCTCCTTATCAGTACACACACTTCTGGAGCGTCAAAATTCCTAATACCTGATAGGGTTCTGGAATCCACAAGTTTGACATTGAAGCACACAAGCTAATGTTCCTCTGAATGGAGGGTCTGATGTCTTAGCTGGACAAGGAGATGATGATGGCTGTGTATAACAGTCTTTAACTGGAAATCTGGCAACTCTGGTTATTCCTGAACTTGGGCTGGATTTTGATAGAAGCTCTGGAAAGAAAAAATAAATATAGTTGTAGTCTGTTTATGATATAACTCAAATTGAAAAAAGTGTAACCAAGATGGAGAAGTGAGAGTTGATTTAAAATTCATAATATTTAGAAAGACTTTGAAAGAGGGAAAGGATTTCACATGAAATGAATATATTGTTTTCAGTTAAGGGTCAACATAATTATATGAAAAAGTGGGTAAACCACAGACCCAGTTTAGTTGAGAAAAGCAAGCATAAGCAGAATATGCCTCAAACATGTCTCCATTTAGCCCTATTTGAGTATTTACCTCAAGTACCTTAGTCTAATATCATTCAATCCTCCAATCCAGGGGTATGCAACCTTTCACGGGCGGGTCAAATACAAGTAACCGGGTGAAGCTGCGGGCCGCACCTTTATTTAATATAACCTTTCTTGTAATTATCGGTACAAAAATTGTTTATTTTTGCTAGTTATCTTACGGCATCATTAGGGTTCCTTGCAAAAATAGTGAGTTGAACGCAAACTTCCTTCTTGAAGAAACAGCTATTTATGATTTAATCGCCACACAGATTTTAATCCAATTTAGTGAGAAACACGTTTTTGTAATATATATTGTGTATTTTGCAACAGAATTTCGCTAGCCAGTTTTGCTAATATTACAGTGGCACTCAAGTACTGGTATAGGCTTTGTGGCGCAAAAGGATTAGAATTACTCACACGCACCAGATTACCTAAACTAAATACTCGTTCCGCGGGCACACCATTCGAAATTGTTATTTCTCCACGGGCCGCACAAATTTTTCTTGCGGGCCGCAGTTTGCCCACCCCTGTTCTAATCAATAAGTAACAAAAAAACAGAGCTTGAATATATGGGCAGAAATGCTATACTTTGGTAATTTTTCTAACCAGACACACACTACTGACTTTAAGTTTACAAAAAATTTTGATAGTACAGAATTACATTCACCTTTGACTTCAAATATCTGTAATGGTCTCGTGTCTCTGGCCACTTGGTGGTGATATTCTTCAAGCAGAGTTGTCATGAGTGCATGGAAGAATTCATGCGTGTCCTGCTCTTGTGATGAGATCTGCCAACCTCGGCCACCCATGTCTTGTAAGAGCTCTGATGGACTGTAATATAAACAGATCTAGCATAGATACTTTTATTGTTTTTGTGCTAAAGCCAGAGATGTACCGATACCACTTTTATCGCCGATACCGATCCGATACCAACTAAAATTGGCAATACCGATATGCTGATAATTAAAAAATGCCGATATTATGTGATTATTACCTCAAGTGTGCAAGGCAGACGGGTGAAACAATAGTCTTTGAGCATTATTCATAGTGATACCAAAAATGGCCAATATTGCCGATACCGATACATCTCTAGCTGAAGCTTGACATGTCATTCATTACTAATCGAGAAGCATTGATGGCCTTGCTCAAATTGGCAAAATCGAATCATGCGGGAAAAATTATGTGAGAGCGGAATGGCGGTTCACGTACCGCTGGTTAGTTACTGGTTCCTCCACCATCAAGTCCACATGCATGAAACAGTTAACTATTCTAATACTTGACATAAACTGGTAACAAAAGCCATGGTTCTCCATACAATTAAATCCATCCTATTGATTTTTCTTCACCTTGGAATGAATACAAAAATTTGGGGTCTCCTGAAGTACGAACCCACCCAAGTGCTACTAGTTGGCCTGGCTCAACAATTTTTGCACATGTCATTCCCACCTGATTACGTTATCCGAAAAATTATGTCACTGCACTGCATCGAAACAATACCAATATAAGAGAGAACGCTGGCTTTACTGAGCTCATTATAGTCGGCACACATGCCATTTTGGGCGATCGTAGGTATACTTTGCCAAGCTCTATGCCGTGATTGTGACATCGGAAAAAAATTATATGCAAAAATCATTATGCTACGCCTACTAGAAGTACTTGTGGCCGCGTACTTCACAAACCAAAATTTGTATCCTTTAAACAAGCAAGACTTACTCAAAATAATAGTCCTGCAGTTCTGTATCTCCAGTTAAAATTTCGATAATTTTCAGTAAGACATCTGCCATATAAACATGGTCTGTATCAATCCTCACTCGTTCAACAAAGTTCTTCAGCCATTCAACAAATGCAGGACATGTTGCAAAACACTGAAAATGTAGGAAACTTTTAGCATTACTCACTATATAACTAATTACATTTCAGGACAGCAGGAACAATTTGAAGAGTACATCATGCGCTTAAAAATAGTTCTAAAGGTCAGAAACGCTCACTCAACAGGCAATTTAAAAAGTTGAATGTTATCTTATAGTTTTATAATTCAACTGGGCTTTATTTTGAACTCTGCTATGGCCGCATGGTGAGACAGTTCCAATACATGCTGGCTCACACCATTTACATTCAAACAGGATAGGATTTACATATTTAACCTGGGGGAAAGAAAAGGTAATAAGATGGCCCAATCATATGGCGAACTACGGCCTCCTGTCCGGTTACCATTCCACGTCGGGTGTGGAATTAGATACCTGGTATTTGTTTTCGGATGCATGGACTTGATGGTGGAGAAATCTGAGACAAGTACATCATGCCCTGAAAATTAGGCATCTAGCGATTAGAAACGCTCACTCAACAGCTAATTCAACAAATATGGTAGATATTATGATATATTTAAGTTTTATAATTCAACTAGGATTTATTTTGAACTCTGCCATGGTAATAAAGTTTCAATAAATGTTGGCTTACTACATATACATTCAAAAAGGATTTGTTTAACCTGGCGAAATAGAAAGCTGATAAGATGGCGAACTACGGCCCCTCGTCCGGTTACCGGTCCAGGTCGGGTATGGGATTAGTTAGTCAGTTATTTGTTTTCGGAAGCATGGACTTGATAGCGGATGAAGCCGTAACTGACCAGCGGCTACATGAACCACCCTACAACGGCCAGCAATCATCTCACACATAACTATGCCTGCATGGGATGTGAAACCATGCAGGGTAATCAGAGGTGCAGTGGCGAGCTTATTCCTAATGCATAGCATGATGCGCCACACCGCATAGCCAAAAAATAAATAAATACAGTGAAATAACTGACCTGGAGCAGAGCATTCATAAAACAGCTATTTCCAACATTAAGGAGGCCAGGAACAGTTTTCTTTCTTCGCCTAGATTTCGGTTTTCCTTCCTCCCCTCCACCCCCAAGCCATTTCCACAAAGCATAGCCAACAGACGCCCCTGCTAATGTAGCAAATGTAAACTTCACAGAGCGATTAATTGTGAAAGTTATCATGGACGCCTTTTCATGCGCCATTTTTTGCAAATTACAATACAACAATTCCGTAATTGCAACAGAATGCTGCAGTGGACAAAAACACTGCTGATGTAAATATAACTCATGCTAGAATCACCGATTTATTTTCATTATATATATGACGTCATCGGGTTTCAAGGTCAAACGTAGGTATAATGAACGGATTTAAAGAAATTATCGTATATAAATAAGAATAAATTCAATTATCGTAAATATTCAATATGAAAGGATTTTTATGATTAACTCGAGGGTATAGGGAAGCCGATAAACGGTTCAAACGTTCAAACATAGGGCGTACCGCGGTCTCTCGTCCGATTGTCAGTCCAGGTACGCGAATACTTGACCAGTTATCTGTTTTAGGTGCACGGGCTTGAATAACAATACATAGTTTAAAATTAGTCTAATCTTTAATCGTTCCATTAATTTATTTTCATTCATTAGAACCTTTTTAGCGTGAAACTTGTAAGTAAATCAATTCTGAAATGTCTGCTACCATATACCACTAGGTGTCAATCTTGGGTTGTTAATTTACAAAAATATTCGGCGCTCAGCATGAATCTCATGTCCATTTGGTAACTGAACCAGTTTCGTTGTTTTCAACCTAAGGTCACCGGATATCCGGAGTTGTTGGAGCTTCGGGGGACGCTTTATTTGTCGAAGAATCGTAAGAACATGTTTTTATATTTATCCGAATGTTTTGATACCGGTAATATTTAATGATAATCATATTAATATTAACCTGTACCGGTACCGTACACCACTTTCAGGCTTACGTGCTATTTATGCTATTACCGGGCTATGGTAATATGTGACAGTGTTTATTATTTTATTGTTTGTATTTCCACTGCTTCTGCATGCATGTCCTAACATGTATTATTACATCCACACATGTATAAATGGCACCCTGTATTACTGCCTATCTGGGTCTTATGTAGATTCGTACCTAACATACTTCTAGTGGGCGTAACATAACAATTTTCATGTGTCAATCCCAACCCCCACCTGAATACGCCATCCAAAAATTACATCACTACAACGACATCGTGATGTAATAGAGCCATTCAAACTATACGGACTGTCATTCAAGACGAGCACCTGAAATCGAACAGCTGTTTCTCGCTGCACGATCCCAATAGGAGATAGATCGATGACGTTAGTCAGTTCTTTATCGTCATCGTCGATGCCATTTCGGGCGATTGTACGTATATTTTGTAAGCTCTATGACGTGATTGTGATGTCGTAGTGACATAATTTTTGGATGGCGTAATCAGATGGGGGTTAGGATTGACATATCAAAAAATTGTTATGCTACGCCCACTAGAAGTACGTTGGGTCCGAAACTACACGAGACCCGTAAATCCTGTAATCGGGTAATTATCTTAATGCTGTATTATGTATTACTTGTACAGTAATGTATTTTTGTTTTTACTTCAGTATTGCCTACATACTTAGCAGCTGATTAAATAAATGTTATTTGTGTGATTGTCTTTTAGTTGTTAAAGGAACTTATTCTGTAGCTTATTCGATGCATTAGTGGTTTCATATTTATCCGAGGGTAAAGGATAGATCTGTAGATAACTCCTAATTATATGGTGAACCAAGGCAGTGTTTCTCAACCTATTTGGGTCGTGACCCAGATCTGGGTCGCTTGCTTTTTTCAATAAAAACCTAAGAGTTGCTAATTTTATTTTATACTTAATTTTATTGTTTATTTGATATTGAAGTATTGCTCAATAGTAATTGCATTTGTGGGGAGTATCACTGCGGAAAAACTTGGCAGCATTTATTTTGTTTAAAGCAGATTTCGAAAACTCGGTGATTTCGAGCGCGCACAATTTTCTCACTTTAAAGTCATTTCTGGGAAAATAAATGTTATATAAAATTGATTGTTTTGCATTATTCATTTATATTTGGTAATAACTTTTTTTTAATTTGGGTTGCGTGAAAAAAAAAGCTGGAAGCACTGAACTAAGGCCTCCCGCTGGGTTGCCAGTCTGGGCATGGCAACTAAAAACTTAGAACTCATTGTATTGATACTTGTTCTGTGTGAGTTTACATATTTGAATCCAAAGATTTAATTAATATGCACTGGTGTGCTGTAAATATTGTCAGGGGTGCCGTGGGAAATTCTCCAAATTGTGTGTTTATGCGGTGTAGCGCTCGGCAGAGAAATCATGTATTACAGTACTGTTCTATATCAGACGGTGGGAGCATCAGGTCGCGATTTGCTTTTTTGTCTTTGTTTTATTTGATTACTATTCAGGATGTCCTATTTGACATCTTTCTTCAATGTTAAAAATCTTACATTAACAATATAAACTTATATTATGAATATTAGGTCTTTTCCCCATATTTTCAGCTGGTTGTGTGCCGCGGGATTTTCTCACTGGAAAAAGTGTGCCTTGGCTCGAAAAAGGTTGAAAAACACTGGCTTAGACTACCGGTAACTTCACTGGCAAGAGGGTGTGGTTATCTATAGATAGATCAGGGAGTTGCAACAGGGGTCTCAGGCGTCTTGTGAGCAACAACCTGGGTCATTTAGTGTGACCCTAGTCAACACTCTGATTTTTCCTCAGCTGAAGCCGACAGTTTATTTTTTAAAAAGTCGGTTATGTGGCCCACCGTCAAAAAATGTTGCACATCCCTGCCCGAGATAAATTTGACAATCCTATCATAAAGATTGATTCCATCTAACATGGTAAGCTTGGCTCAAGCTCCACCAAAATGTCACAGCCCTATGGCTGCAAGCCTGGATTCCAGCACTGGTTCCCCAATCCTGAGTAAAGTGGATATTGGTTGACATAAGACCAGACACAATTTCATGTCAATACTGTAAGGAAAAAGCATAGCATAGAAATTTCATTGATGTTAATATTTTATTGCACTTTTTTTTTATCAAATGTCAGTTGACTGCCTATTACAAGATTAACTTCTGTACAAAATAGTTGGAAATATCATAAGGTAAATAACCATATTATATTAGATCATATATCATTCACGGTAAAAAATAATCAAAAGGTGATGAGCATTAGAAAACATGTTCAAAAAATAGAAAAAACTAAAAACCATAATCCATTGTGTGGAGGTCGTTTTATATTCCTAGCTGTTTTGAATCTAATTATCTATATTATACTTGTAAAAAAACCATTTATTTATTAATGAGTTGTGCCTTCCTAATTCTAGTTTGTCTTACACAAAATGAAGACTTATATCATTGATAAATATACAGGGTGACACCAAAAAACATAGCCCAGGTAGATTTGGAACTTAAAGGGGTTCTTTTAAGATTCTTAGAACTAACTTCAAAAATAATCTGGAAAAACCAGCTCAAATTTTCTACTTTTACTAGATTTTCTAGTTTTGTCAAATAGAAAAACAAAATAGAAATACAAAATTCATCTAAACTAATCTGAATATTCAGTATATTTCATTTTGCATCGATTTAAATGTTACTTTACTTTTGTGCGATCTACATAAGCAGAAGTCACATCTAACTTCAAGTTATGAATCGGTCAGTACTTCAAACATAACTCGCCGTCCACTCCCATGATGAAACATCTGGTGAAATTTATTTTTCATAATATTTAACATAGTTAGGCTCCATTGAGCTGTTGCAGCTAATTTATTTACAAAAAGATTTTCGTGCTTATTACTATTACTAGGAGTGAGGGAAGCTGAAATGACAGCTTAACACATGGCGGCCACAGCTTCTCGTTCAGTTACATTTTTGACCATGTCGAGTATAGGATTTGTTAGCCACTTATTTCTCGATAGCTCATATGATGCTGTTATCTATGAATTCTACGTTTCTCCAATTCAAAGCTTCCAAAATCAAATTGCATTCAATGTTTGTCACTTCTGCCTGGGGATCTGTAAATTTCAAAATTTTTGAGATATCCTAGCGGAATTTTCACATGAGATTTAAGGCCATGAGATGCTGGCTGATGCACTTGCAGAAATACTAATGCTTGTTATATCATCGCCGCTTGTATCACTGTCGTCTTGTCCATCAACATACATATAAGAATACAATTCTCCATCTGTACTTTCTTGATTAGGGTGTAGCACGCTGAATCCTTTAATCGTTTTATACTTTTGATTTGCCGCTTTGAAAACTTTCGTTTCGACATGCAATGTGCTTGGTAGGTCTTTCGCTTTTTTGTTACGAAGGAACTTTGAAACCCAAATATTTGCGTATGAATCTGTCACATTGAGGTGGGAAAGCAATTTCGCTCGATTTCCTTGTTCTCTGATTTTTATTGAGCGAAAATCGTTAATTACGATGAAATTTTCTGGATCGGATCGCAACGTTTTATAATCTGGGTTCTCAAAGTCACATCCTAACGTCGTAAAATGCCTAATATCGCTTCCGTTTATGAGTTTTATGAAGTCGTTCGCGTTCAATAATTCGCTTGAGAGAGTAAAATATCTACAGCACATTGTTAAGTAGTCTTCCAGTGGTGCACGGAGTCCTTCTGTTTCTTCTCTTTGTACACAATCGTAGCATTCTGAAAGGATGTCTAAATAAGACAGACACCCATGAAATACTCGATCACATCGACACTCGTTGAATTCTTTATAGTCTTCCCACAAGTAATCCAGTCTAACATAGCGTGATGGTTTTTGCTGTGCAGCACTGGTCGTAATAACTATCATGAATATGAAATAAATAGCCGACATTTTGGAGTTTAACTGTTTCAAGAATGTAAAATTTTTTGTTAAACTGAAAAAATTCTATTCATAAGGCAATTTTTTTTATATGGCACCTTCACTCTCAAAAGGACTCTGTATAAGCAGCAAAAATGGCTACGGGTATAGAATAAGTGCTGCACACAAATTTCAACCCCTCCTAGGAAAGCTTATTTATTAAATAAATGAATAATAATTTCCAAATCTATTCAAATATTCGTTTCAATGAAACACAGTACCATTTATTGAATTTTTCGAAGTCTTTCCAGTAATAATTCAGTTCAACATAACGTGATGGTTTTTGCTGTGCAACACTGGTCGTTTTAACTATCATGATTAGGCAGTTGAAAGCCAACATTTTGGAGGTCAACTGTGTTTAGAAAATATTTTAATTACTTTTAAG